GCTTGGCGTGGGACGGGCGGGTAAACGCAGGACACGCTTGGCGTGGGACGGGCGGGTAAACGCAGGACACGCTTGGCGTGGGACGGGCGGGTAAACGCAGGACACGCTTGGCGTGTGACGGGCGGGTAAACGCAGGACACGCTTGGCGTGGGACAGGCGGGTAAACGCAGGACACGCTTGGCGTGTGACGGGCGGGTAAACGCAGGACACGCTTGGCGTGGCCCGGGCGGGTAAACGCAGGACACGCTTGGCGTGGGACGGGCGGGTAAACACAGGACACGCTTGGCGTGGGACGGGCGGGTAAACACAGGACATGCTTGGCGTGGGACAGCTATGCCAGGAATCAGTTCTCTGCAGGCTCAGAAGCATGGTGGCAGAGAGATTTGAGCAAACAAACGCTCCATGTTCTCGGGGCTACTGGAAACGTTTACAAATGTTCACAAACACAGTGGCTAAAGCTCAAGGGCATTTTCCCCCCATTTGACATTCATACCACAGAACTTTCCCAGTTACATGACAGGGGAAGGATGCAGGCAGAGGGAGAAAAGCTTTAAGTGTCACTAACGTGCAAAGAGTTTCAACACTAGCGAGACAGTGTGCAAGAGTAACAGCGGAGCAGCATACTGAACGAGTTACTGAGCTTGCATGCTCTGAGAATAACGTTTGACTCAGTAAGAACAACAAAACAAGCTCATTAATTTGACCCTTATAGTCAATTACTGTGATAAAGGGCAACCCTCCCTGGAAACTGTTTTTTTCCCCCATCATATCAGAGCCAAGTGAGAACTGGGTCCAAGGCAGGAGAAGTCATTAAAATGAAGCTTCTGTGCAGTTTGTGCCTCTCGTGATTTTTTATTTTTTTTTGGATCCTACATAGTGATTTGTCTACTTTAAAGAAGTCAGCTGGTATATTTGGTCTGTTTTTGCCTGAGGAGAAAACCATGGATTCTGAGGTGGAACCTGGCGTAATGCGTACCAGCCCGCTTCAGAGAGCTTAGTGAATTCGCGTGAGCGGACAGGATGGCTACCCAAATATCAGGCGGAAATAGTTAACTGGGTGTAATGTATCCCTCTATCGCCGAGACTTTTTTTGGTCAAGAAAACAGATTGATATCTTAGAAGAACCCATGCAGAGCAAAGAAACAGAAAACGGATATAAATTTCTGTCTATTTTGATGTCGGCCCCAAAAGTCAAGAGAATGTTCTCTGATTTGTTCATTTCAGTCTGTAAACTCTTTCTGACAGTGAAAATCACTACTCAGAGGGTTGCAGTTATTAGGACAGGAACATGGATTCAGTCGATCAAGCAATGATTAATACACTGTCTTTTTTGTTTGTCCTTGAACAGCACTTCCAGGAATGATCATCCCTCAGATGTAGAAGATTTGCAAGAGAGCAAGAAACACGTGACAACTTGGGCAGGAGTTATGAAACTCTGAAATGAGACTAAATGCAACCCTTGAAGAAATTAACCTTTAACTCAGGCCTTTTTAAGAGGATTTACATTTGAACAAAAAGAAAAATAAGGACAGTTACAACTGCTTTTTAAATTTGTAAATGCAGACTCTTTGTTTGTTGGTTTGTTTGTTTTTTGAGAATGGAAGGTGATGCCACAAATTATTCTGACGACCCCAGCCTGCCACAAAAAAAAAAGAACTGTTTATCCGCAAACTGCTTTCTGTCATTTAGTTCTCTTTTTGTTTATATGTTCGGAATTTTACCAAAATTGTACTATACACAAGGGAACCCGCCTGCAGAGACTAACTTAGGATTTCAGTTTAAGAGGCTTGTGAAAAAGAAGATGTAACGTCAGGTGGGGGGGCCGTTAAGGGCAGCTGGCCGGTGGTTGAACTACTGGGTGTGCAGCGGAGCGTGTCCGGAGCGCAGCTCCTGCTCATAAAGGCAGCGCCTAGTCTTCGTGGGCTTATTTAAGCTATGAAGCAGAGTGCAGTTTCCCGAAGACCCTAAATGAGATTTGACGTTACACCAGTGGAGACATACAAGACATTTTGGGGGGGAGGGGGTGGGGGAAACAATAAAAACATACTTATATGTAAGCGCACCGGAATATTTACTAAGCTTACACGTACCTAAACCACGTTGAATCAACACAAAGTTTTGCCTTCTCTCTATAACAATGATATTACCTACTATAGAAATAAAAACTTGTCTAATAGCCCGTGATCCTGAACTTGATAAGCAGTTGGAAGATGAACGGATGGATGTTATTAATAATTTAGTACTAGTAATTTTCAGCTTCACTTTATTTTTATACTGTAGCGTCACGTAAATTTACGCATTTGCAGTTTTGCGAAAGATCACGGTACCGGACACTTGGAAATTTTTGCGATGCTACAGTTTTGAGTACCTGCGCCTGCTGGGATTTTTATTAATGATATTTTTAATAAGAGAACGGACAGTGTACGTTTTTTACGGAGGTGGATGTCTTGGCCCGTGATCCGCGTGAGTCTGTATCGATTTCGCTTTATATCGATTGCGCAAATGTCACGGTCCCCCCAGCCCTTCGTGCGCCTGCAAATAACATTTTTTTGGTGTGCACACTTTTGTAGATTAAAGGACAATGGCATTTTTCCAGGATTTGTTCCATTTTTACCTTTTACTAGAGGGTGAATTGCTACTTTGGGGAACTGTACATAAGACCCAAGAATTTGTACATCCGAAAATGGCACAAAAATTATTTTAATAATCAATACAGATAATGTAAATGTCTGGAACAATATATCTCGGTTGCATTTCGCTTTAAGTACCAGTAATCTAATATACATATTTAGATATGCCTATTCTTCAATTCTATACTAATTAATTAATTGATTCCTGGAGGAATTTATTAATTAATATTTGGAGGCTGTGCGTGTGTCTATTTTTAAACAATGTTCTCTGAAGGCATTAAGAGTACTCTGAAGCTATCCTTGGATCCCGGGCGTATCTCCGGATCCTGGTCGGTATCAGCCCGATCCGGTGAGAGCCCGGTGCTCTGATAAGGAGTCCGGCACGCGCGAACCGAGCCCCCGGACCTTGGGTTTCAAGCACAGGGACGTATTTCGGCGTTCAGTCTATTCCAGCACAATCACTACCTGGGACCTGGCTCTCTGTGGCTGGGGCACGATCTGCTTTTTGTACTTTTTCATTATATGTTTTTTTTTTTCTCCAGCACATTCCCAGGGTGAGTATAATTACCCGGCTCCCCACATACTGACCTTGTGAAGTCTTTAGCTGAGGAGAAACCGTGCTGACAGGACACGTTAAAAAAGAGAGAGGGGAAAAAATCTGCCAAGACTGATATTGGGCAAGGAAGCTGCAATCCAAGCGTGTTTGTTCACATTTCGTGAGCCGTGCCGGAGTCTTGTCCAGTGCTGCAAGTTGTTAGCCTAGATTTCTAATGAACACAAGGCGGTCCCAATTACCTAGAGCCCCGTCCCCAGGGTCCCCTCAGTTCCCATGTCTAACCGATCTCCCTGTGCGTATCGACGCCGTGGGAAGTGGAAATGAAACCTCTCGAATTAATTCTGAAATAAGAGAACAAAATGTAATAGGTTTTAGCACAGAAAGAAAGGAAAATACAGAAGCCTTCATTGTTAACCTTTTTGCTGCTAGTAGCACCAGAAAATCAGTAAATTATACGTGTAGTCGATATTGTTCTCATTTCCCTGTCGACGTATAAATGATTTTTTGCCAATAATACTTCTGTCGGTTTGTTTTGTGTTTGGTGTAGTTTTTTTCACGAACGAGACTGTGATATACCTACAGTTGGCCTTTGTTTGGACGCCAGGCATCTGTTCTTGTAATGCTAATGGGGGCAACAAATTTTGGCCGCGGGGGTATCGTTTTTTTTTTTTCCAGCAGGCGCTGCTGAAATAGCCCCCCTCCTCCTCCTCCTCCCCCCGCGCTATTCGGATGTTCAGAGACCCAGCAAAAACGCCACATCACTTTTAACGTTTCTGTTATTGTATCTGTTGTACATAATAATGAATGTTACCTGACGTGATATGTTTTGCCAATGTCATTGTTTGAAATTGTATTTATGCATTAAAATGTCCTAGGGCAGCTTACGTTATATACTGTCACTGATGCTATGTCATGCGATTCGCCAACTTAAGGCTGCGAATGAAAGGCAAAAAAGGAAGGGGATCCCTGTAAATTACCCATAATCCTAGTGTGTGTATCTCTGGAATTTATGCATTCATTCTGTTCCATAATTTTAATTTCACTGTGTATGATTGCAATGTAAAAAAGTGCCGAACGATTTGCTTTCATCTTCTACCATTATTCATATTGTTTAAATGTTATTTTAAATGTATAATTTGTATTTTTTTTCTATTGTACAAGCCATACTTGCTTTTTATTTCCATCCCGGAAAAAGTACTTGTCTATTTTTGTATTAATTGTATGATAAGAAATGTTTGTTTTCGTTTGTTTTAAATTCTAAAACTTGTTTCAAAATGTACAGTATGACAAAAGTATTGTACCCTCATAATATTTAGTTATGTTAATTTTTTAAATATATAAATATATAAAGATATATCTCCTGTTTTACTTTTTGAGGATTACAGCTACTGTTCCTCATTTATATTTTGCTTTGGTTCTTCTGCTTTGTGAGTTAATTCACCCCCCCCCCTTCCCCCCAATAACTTTTGTTTTTTTTTATTTCGTATTCCTTTTTCTTTCTCTCTTTGTCTATTTAATTATTTATAGCCTACTTGGTTTTTCCCGTAACGTCTCAGTAAAATCTTAAGCAGCTGTTCAGGAGTTGTAACCTTGTGCGTTCCCCGTGCCCACGCGACTTAATCACGGCGCATTCGCAGAGAAACGCGATGAGAAACGATGCTAAGGTATGTGAGGGACATTCACCTCTCTCGTCGTACCCCGGGCTGAGTGATGTCTTCCCAGTAATCACCGCTGGAGGTTTCTCCGCTTTTATGTTTTGGCCTTGGGTGTCAGGTGGGGATGAGGGCCTGGAACAGGACACCGCGTGGAGATTACTGCACTGGGGCGATTAATATTTAATGCACATTGCAGCTGGGTGCTCTGGAACAGGGGAAAGATGTATTATGCTGTTGAGTTCTTTGTTTTGCCCACATGTCTGTTATCACTTTTAGTTTGGGGGATGGAATAGGGAGAAGATTAACAGCCATAATCTGCAAAATTATATTTTTGTTTGGTTTTTTTTGTATAAAAGCAGTGTGCGTTCAAAACTATTTGAGCTTTATTGCAGGCACTTTGTAAAAACAAATAGTAATTATTAATAAAAAGTAAACAGTCATGATCTGAATGTGTTCTGGGCAAAATGCTATGGAATAACGCGGCAATTTGCATGCATACAGTTCAGTTAATATCATCATACCGATGCTATCATATTGGTGAATTAAGACGGGTGGTTTTGCTCCGATAGCTTATTGGTCGTTTTGTTTGTCCTGTCCTTCCTACCAAACGAATCGCCTTCCTTGGGAAATTGAGTCACTTCATCCATTGTCTGTGACGTAATTCGGCTACCTGTTTTTAAGGTTTACGGTTTTATTGAGCTTCAGTTAAGAAGGGGTCATGAGGGGGGGGGGGCGCTGGACTCTAATCTTTTCATTTGTATCTTTCTTTACTAAAAAGATTCATATTACTGTTCCGTGTCATAGACGGACTCGGTTTTACTATAGTTATGCCCTGAAAAGATTTAAATTTTGTTCTGAAAAAAATCTGGTTCTCTTTTTTTCTGTTAAATCTTTTTCTTGGTTTGATGAACACTGATTAGTCATATCATTTGGCAAGCAGCAGAATAAGTAAATAACTATTGTACATACAGTATATATATGATTTGTAATTAAATTTGACCTGTAAAGATGTTTTCAACTTTCACATTATTTAATTAAAGCTATTTCTTGTCTGTGATTGTTTTAATGTTCCTCTGACCTTTCCTTTATTTCTAATATAGCTATTACGTAAAACTGTAGGTGCCTTTCCGAGCACGATTTCCTCTTCATACTCGCGGCAGTAATGGCCCAGATTCTGTAGTCGGAGGCCGGAGGATCTTCTCCATTTTTTTTCCGTCCTCCGCTTCAGTTTCAGCACCATCCATTCAGCAGATTATCCTTTCCGTTAGCGGACTGAGCTCAGCCACTTCCTGACAGTGTTTGCATCAATTTTTAGAATCTTTAAACAGAGATAACCACAATTATGGCACAGGAAATCACAGAGGGTCTGAGGGATAAACACTCACAATGCTGGTACTGACCGCAGGGGAAGACAACTCAGGTTCCACCTAGTTTCTAAGCGTTGCCTTGTCAGTGCGCAGGAAAGATGAGACCGCGCTCTGCTTTCGCTTGCGTGACTCACAATGTGGGACTGTTTCATTGCCCTTGGAATGTACCATTTTACCCGGTGGCGTGGGGATGTCATCATGTGTTGCTGGTGAGCTATACTTGGATATTCATTTCGAGGGAGAAAGAGAAATGTTTTCCTAAATTTGGTACACTTTTCCTCTCCCTATCAAAAGTTTCTGCTTTCAGAAATATTACACATCACAGGAGGCGTCAGGGGCCAAATGATTTGCTTACCCTACTAATTGCAACTTTTTCTGCAATATGTGAAGGTACTTAAGCTCACGTGACTAATCACTTGTAACACTAGATGCAATGATAGCTGTATGATCATTGCACAAAACATGGCGTTTCACGCAAAAGAGGATGTTGGGTGAATAAAATTATTTCTATCCTAAATTATTATTGAGGCCTCCCGGCCACATATTGTCACATTGCTTGTACGTTTGTTCGCCATTATGTGTTCGCCACAATGAAATTTTTTTCAAGAAATTGGTTTAAATGTTAAATCACATACCAAAAAGAAGCAAGTAAAAAACTGCGTTTTTACTGCGTTGCTACCAGAAGGGAGTGATTTGATTGGTTAATAAAATGAGCGTCAGAGTTTCTGCAGATGCTCTGGGCTGAGAAATACTGAGCAAAAACACATATGTGGTCTTTGCGCTGTTAAAATCACAGACACTTTGCTTCTATATGCTTATATTACCAGGACCTATGAGTTGGTTGGCTGAGCCTCACATAGTCTGCAACTGACACCGAGCAAAAAAACAGATATAAGGTCTTATTAATGCTGAAAATGTAACGAGATACGACTGTAGTGCTTAGACAGTACATACAGCCATGGGGGGTTGTTTCCCACAGACTCAAGAGGGACAGACGGCCTTCAGATCTGTGTCGAAGTCATGGGTGAAGTTAGAAATTCTGCCCCCCCTGGCAACATGTTACCTTAGGCCTCCTTTCAGTAGATTTTGTCAACCGGGCCCTCGACATTAGATTTTTGGGGCCCCTATAAAATTCTGCCCCCCCTGGCAATATGTCACCTTAGGCCCCTTTTTGGTAGATTTTGTCGACCGGGCCCTCGACATTAGATTTCTGGGGCCCCTATGAAATTCTGGGTCCCCTGGCAATATGTCACCTTAGGCCCCTTTTTGGTAGATTTTGTCGACCGGGCCCTCGACATTAGATTTCTGGGGCCCCTATGAAATTCTGTCCCCCCTGACAACATGTCTCCTTAGGCCCCCTTTCGGTAAATTTTGTCAACTGGGCCCTCGACATTAGATTTTTGGGGCCCCTATGAAGTGCTGGGCCCCCTGAATCTGCCTGGGTATCCATGCCCCCCCAACACCCCTGGAAGCAACCTTTAATATAGACTCTGCGTCGTGACCTGTCTTCCCCGCACGCCCTGGTACCCAGTATTGTCCACCAGCGAGTGTCTGGCAAACGGAACCCAAACCGGAATCCTCTCCAGGGTCCTTCCAGCATGCCCCCCCCCCCCCAAGTCATGGCAGGTGTGTGAGTAGGGGCACCAGAAGCATCACCAGGGGGACGATAAGGCTTAAGATATCCATTAGCTAATGGACTGCTGACAGAGGCAGAGTCCTGATCACACCCCTAGTATACTTAACCCCACCCTAGTGCTTTCAGAGTTAAAGATGCTCCAGTTGCCTGTAAACCCTCCCCCTCCCCCACCCCCAACCACGATCACTCCTCACTCTGCCCCTGACAGGTCCCAGGGAAGCCCCACTGTCCAGGTGACGGCCAGATGACAGGGGCGATGAAAGGATTCAGCAGTCGTCTGGCCTGGGCTCGTGGGAACGGAAGTGAGTCCGTGTGTATGGGGTGGTTACCGGGGATTAATAGATATGGCAGCAGTTAGGTGTTAATAAAAAAATAACCAACATGCTTTAATGGCAGATTTGGTGACCACCCCCCCCCCCCCCCCACCCCACGGCAAAGGACGTTGAAGATCTTGAAATAGTATCCCAGCCAAAGAGCTAGTGCATCGATCGCCTGACTCCCCCTCTCTGCTTTGGTTATGTGCTGGTTTTGGTTTTGCAGCACTGCTTTGCACATCTGAGCTATTTGCACCATCTCTAATACACTGCACATACTGCCATACTGCCATGTACTGTGTGCACTGTTTACACTGTACATACTGCCATACTGCCATGTACTGTGTGCACTGTTTACACTGCACATA